TATGTTGTAAGCTACTTTCTTAACCAAGTTTTGTCATCATCATTTGAAACCTTCCATGGTTTTGGCCAGTTATCTAGACTGCATTTTCTTTCCTTCCATTTCTATTGAAAGAATTTATAGAAAACATCTTCCACTTCCCTATGATCTTTGGTGATTTTCCTTCCAGATTTTTAACTTGAGAGATCCAATTGGTATTTCTTGTAGCATTGGCAAACGAATGAAAGAATTTGGTATTAGAACCACCTTCAACATTCCACTTCACTTTTGCTGTTTGCTTCCACCAAGTGTTCAAGTAATTGAGAATAACATTGAGTTATTTTACTTTAGATCTAAGTAGCCATAACTTCTCATCATCCAGGCAACCATTGGTAGCTTCTTCTTCTTAGAGTAAGAGAATTTCATCCTTTAATCTGGATTTTCCACTAAAAAGATCTTTAATCTTATTCTTGCTCCAATGGAATAAGTCATTTAATGCTCTCTTACATTTCTTGTTTAGTATTTACGTGTCATCCCCAACAAAATTTTTCTTCCAAGTTTTTGAAACAATGTGTTCCAATGTCTTGAAGGATAACCATACATATTCAAATTTAATAGATCTTGCCAAGCTTCTAGTTTCATCAAATAATTTCAGCACAATGGGGCAGTGGTCAGAAGCCAATCTAGCTAAGTGTCTTACCATTGCAATTTGAATCCTTTGAATAGCCATTGATTTCAACAAGCATCTATCAAAACGTTCTAGAATTCTTCTACTTCCAACTTTATTATTGCACCAATCATCCCAATATCATGATAGTCATTATCATTCATAAACTTAAGCATTTCTAAGGAACCTTGAGAGAAGACAAATTTCTTACCTCCTCTCTTTTCCTCTTGTGAAAGAATGCAATTAAAGTCACTTCCAATTACAGATGGAATCTTCCTTTGTGATTGTTCTTGGATGCAATCCCATAACAATCTTCTCTTGTGAGCCTCCTTGTTCCCATAAACTGTAGTAATCATCCAACAACCTTTTTTAAAGACATTAAGATCACTAATAACACATTGATCTATAGTCTTTAACATTGTGAATGAAGCAATATTAGATCTCCAAAGAATCATAATGCCTCCAGATAGTCCCTCTGAAGGTAGAATGAAAAAATCCCAATTAAGACCCATGATCCTATCAAACTCATTTTTATCAAAAGAGATGATTTTAGTTTCAAATAAACCAACAAAGAAAACCTTATAGTCTTTTATGAACTCCTTCATATATAGAGAGGCTTCCTTCTTCTTTGCCCCTCTACAATTCCAAAATGCTATGAAATCCATTAAATATTAATTGGGGAGTAGCCCCCAACCTTCTTTCTTCCTTCTCCAAGTCTTCTACGGGTTTTATTTTTAATAGGTCCTAAAGATTTTAATTCTTTTGCCAGTTTGCATTTAGGCAATTCTTCAATCAAGCCATTGTTGTTCTCCAATACCAATATATCTCCTGTAGCCTTGTAAGGCTCCAAACCACCTTCCTTAGAAATTCTCTCTTCTTCAGCTATCACCAAAGTTTTCTGTATGTTGGCATCATCATTCCTATCTGCATTAATAGTTTGGAGGATAGAGAACTTATTTTCATCTATCAAAGATAGAGAAGCTTCTTCATTCAATTGCAGAACATTATCTAGAATCCGTTCAAGAATTTTGCTGAAAGAATTTGCTGCTACATGATAGGGAATACCTGAGTTCACAAGTAATCCATTAGGATTTACTTGAGTTCGCAGGCAACCCTTCCCCACTGTGTTATCAGAAGTAAAAGGCTCCACCATAGCCATGTTATCCTCATGAGAAGGCACGGCAATTAGCTCTATCCTTATCTCTCCTTCTTCAAAAATTTCTGCATTTATACAGACTTCTCCAGGAACATCTTGAACCAAACATTCACATAAGCTTTCATCTACCACCTCTTGAATAACATTCCTGATTGAGACAGGAATCTCATATTTTTTGACATATGTGAGTGTGTTTTTTTTTTTATCTCCTGATTGCTCCTTTTTGAATTCCTTCTTCTCTTGTTGTTTACCATAATCCAAGGACCATAAGAAGGTTTAATTGGATCTTCTAATTTGCTTTCCACAGCCTTTTCTCTTCTAATTTCCTCCCCATCCACTGCCACTTGAGGATTATTAAACTTTTGTTCACATTCCTTATTCACATGTCCAATTTTTCCACATACAAAACAAAAGTTTGATACCTTCTCATATTCTACCTTTTGGAAGAACCTTCCATCCATGTTATCCACCCAAACTCCTAAAGGAAGAGGTTCATCAAGCTTAATTCTTACACAAACACTGGAAAATTCTCTCCTTCCCCAATGGAACATATTTCCATCTAACATAAGAGGTTTACCAATTCTTGAAGCAATGCAATCTACATTCTACTCATCCCTACATTGTAATGGTAAATGAGGCATTCTAATCCAAATTGGAGATGATAATCCCTTTATAGAAGTAGTATTAAATTACGGAGTCCACTTCTCCAAACCTATTATATGTCCATTTACAAACCATAGGCCACCTGAATGGACTGCTTCCACCATTTCTTTAGATGAGAAGGAACATAAGAACCATCCACCACCCAATGTGGTAAAGTGGAATCTCCCGAATTGAGTCCATTACTTCCTTATTTCCCAAGCCACTAAATGAGAAGGTATAACTTTTCCAAATACTTTAATAACCAATGAATTAGCTAAAATCTCCGAGTTCCTCTTCTCATTATATGCATGTAATTTCACTACTATTCCATCTTCAGAGTAAACAACTTCTTCATATTTGAAATCCAGCTTAATGTATGGTTTATTGCTCCAAGGATTCACATTTCCTAAACCAATTAAGCTTTTTGGCATTCCAGCAGGCAGCTTATCTACATTCGCCTCTTTCCTTTTTTCAGGTTCTGAATTAAAATTTTTGTTAAACAAATCCCGAGAATTCTCATTTATCACGATGCGACTAAGTCCAGGGATTACATTCATATCAGAAGGAAAAGCTTTCTTGATCAGAAGGAAAAGCTGTAGATTTAAAACTGTTAGGAGTAACCGAATTCAAAGCTTCATCTATTGCCTTACCTTTTCCTTCCACATGTTGAATTTTCTTAGGAGAAATTTCAGAAACTTCTTTGATCACCAAAGGTCCTTGATGTTTAAACAGAGGATTTTGAATTCTTTGAAAAGAATTCAAATTCGTCAAGCCATCACCTAAACATATTATGTTTGAATTAACCATCAGAGACGGAGACCTCGACGTCGAGAATGTAGGTTTCAGTTGAACTTTAGACACCATATCTACCTTCTGGCCTTGCCGGCGGCTATTCGCTGCCATCGTCCACTGCCGTTCCGGAGAACCGGGAACCAAAAATGGAAAAGAAAATTTTAAAATTTAAAACTTTCTCTCTCTAATGGCTGGAGTTTCTGTCTCTAACAACTGGAGTTTCTCTCTGTATCAACACATCATTCTATTAGTCTAGGATGATTCAAGAAGAAACTAAGGTTTGTTTAACTGATCATCCTAAATGATCCCGCGGTCGTCCAGGACTATATGATTGATCAATCAAAACTTAATTTCTTTTCTTAATTATGAGACTACTTTACCCATAATTGTTGTGCATCGTCCAAGACAATGTCCTGTAAGATGTCTAAAAATAATAACATACCTAAATAAGTTGGCAGCCAATTCTTTCTGATTTGAGCATATTGTCTATGACAATTCTAATATCATCTAGGATGATTTTCTTAATTCGGCTGCCTTAACCAAGATGCCCTAATTAGGATTTCTATTTTAAATGAATTATTTAGGATGATTTTTTATCATCCCAAATGATATTATCAAAAACAAAAAACTCTAAAACAGACAGAATTTTTCCCCTGAGTATGTGTGTGTAAGTTTACTTAGCATTAGGATTCACTTTGTTACATTTGACTCAAGAAAAGGTAAAAACACTTGAAGTACACTTACAGATTTCCTTAGTCCTAATCTACGCAATCTTGAGATTACTTGATTTACAATGACCTTGTGGACCTAAAATGTTAGTAGGCAAGGCTATATTAGAAAAAATAGAAATGACATAAATATTTGCTATCATCAAAATTATAATTCTTTAATCTAGATTTATAACAAAATTTTGCTGAAAATGCCATCTTTACATTACTAGAGAAATATCCACTTATTACTTTAGCAATTTTACCAGTGTATTAACTTCCATCAGATCATATGATAATAAAATAAGGTTTTTCTATAGTGCTCACAAGCAGTAGATGTATAATTTTTAAACATTAAAATAGTATGGTATAAAAGCTAATAAAACACTATAGTGTGAAAACCAATACATCAATAGGGTGTCAAATAAATAAAATAATTCTTGTAGTATTACTATTTAATTTTTTTTTTTTTGAAAGAAATGCAATCAGCATTAATAAGGAGAAGGAACCAAAAACAAGCTACAAACTAATAGAGATCTTCCTTCATACTACATTCTTCCTTTAAAATTTTAACAAAGGAAGAAGGAAGAGAGCTCTCACTAAAATAGTTCCAAATGAAGTCATATGAAAAGGATAGGTTAGCACAAAAATTAGCTATCCTATTACCTTCTCTACCAATACATTTAAAAATGACATTACTCCCATACCTTAACCCGAAGAAGTCTTCATCTTCGTTGATTCCAATCCTTTTATTGCCTTTGCTGTACATGTTGAGAAGAAGATGAATAACATTCTTATTGTCTCCCTCTATGATGACACCTTTGGCATCATCCAAACAATTGTGTAACAGATACTTTAAAGAATTGAACAAATAAAGTTCCAGCTGTGATATGTCCCAATGCATCCCATAGAAACCAAATGCACGAACCAATCTTCCTCTATTGTCTATAACTATTCCTCCAATACCTGCTCCATAGTTGATTTTCAATGCAGCATCAATGTTGATTTTGTACCACTCAGGTGGTGGAGGATGCCATATTTCTGTAGACAGTCCTAAAGACTAAAAAGCATCCCAGTTCTCCGAGAGCACTCTTTGTCTTCTATCAAATGTTATCATGCTGATAACATTAGTAGCCATCATTGATACACTATCTTCTTTCTTACCATGCTTAATTTTATTTCTATCATTCCAAAAAATCCATAACAAAGTAAAGTAGATCTTTACCGTCCCAGGATTCTTCTCATACCAGGCTTGTGCTTCATCCAAACAGTGCTGAAATGAATCAAAAAAGGGAACTTGAAAACCCCATTTCCGAAGAGTGCCAATAACCTTAAACAGTTTTGGACACTTACAAGTGATATGGTCTACATCGTCCAGTCCTCCACATCCTCTAGGACATTTATTATCATTGGATAAACTTCTTTTCATCATAAAATCAGTTGTAGGAATCGCTTTTTTGCAAAGCCTCCAAATAAAAAATTCCACTATGGCAAACAGTTTCAACTTATGAATCCATAAGTAAGAGCTCCCCTCATTCAACTTCACTGATTCTTCCTTGATCAATGCAGCAATTGATTTACCAATAAATTTGTATTTTTTATCCATATAATCATCCTCCCCAACTTGTTCAATATGAATGCTGCTAATAACATAAACCAATTCTTCACCAAAAAAAAGAAGAAGTTTATCAATGTTCCATTTGCCTTGAGTAATAAAAAAATCCAGAGTTATATTATCCTCTTCAAAAGAAGCAATAAAAGTTGGCCATTTGAGCAAGACTTTATCAAAAATCCATACATCCTTCAATACATTAATTCGAGATCCATTCACCATATTCCATCTGATAACTTTCCTCAAAGATTTCCATCCATTGGCAATGATCTTCCAAGCCGAAGAACCCCCTTTAATCTCATCATTCTTCCACCAGTCTTCACCGTACTTGATAAGTAAATTTCTATTTAAGAAGGAGTGAGGATTGATTACCAGATTCCAAGAGAATTTAGCTATAAGAGTTTGGATACTGTTAACAGCAGAATGTAAACCCCAACCACCGGCAGCTCTTGGCTTGCAAAACTCTTCCCAAGCTATATAGTGCATTCCCTTTTTTCCATCATGATTCTTCCATATGAAATTTCTGCAGTATTTCTCAAATTCCCTCAGCACACTTAAAGGAATTAAGGAATGTGATATTAAAAATAAAGGCAAATTACAAAAAACTGAATTGGCAAGCACAAGTTTTCCAACTAGAGAAATATATCTATTTCCCCAAGCATTTAAAATCTTCAAAGCTCTATCCAAAAGATATTGAAAATCTAACTTTTTCAATCTTCTCAGTGCCAATTTAGTTCCCAGATATTCCATCTCCTCAACCACCTTGATCTCCATAATTTTGGCAATCTTCTTCTTCCTTCTCCTTTCAACATTCTTACTAACAATCATAGACGATTTCTTAAGATTCAATTTTTGTCCTGTCCAACCACAGTATTTGTTCAAAATGACCTTCATCTCCTTGATGCTTCTAATCTTGGCTTTAGAGAATAAGAGGATATCATCCGCATAGAGCAAATGAGAAATCACTTGACCTGAAGAGGCCACTTTAATGCCTAACTCCTTTTCCTCCTGAGTAAGAGCATTGGTAATTAATTGGGAACAAATGATAAAAAAAAAGGGGATAATAGACAACCATGACGGAAACCACTCCTCCCCTCAATCCACTTGGAAATGCTACCATTTATAATAATTGAGAATCTAGGCTCCATAATGCATTCCATGATCAGCTTGATGAATTTTACGGGAAAACCCAACCTTCTCATCATACCTTCAAGAGTATTCCAACACATGCTATCATATGCTTGCTCCATGTCTATTTTGATTGCCACCATACCTTCATTAGATTTATAAATCCTCATCTTGTAAATCACCTCCTATGCTAGTAATAAATGTTCGGAGATGCTCCTTCCTTTCAGGAAAGCAACTTGTTCTCCAGAGATTAATTTTGGAATAACCACCAAAGGCCTATTAAGTAACACCTTAGCAACAAATTTATAGATGGAGTTACATAAGCTAATAGGATGGAATCCTTCAGGAGATAAAGGGTTAGTAATTTTTGGAAACAAGACAATAAGAGTTTCTTTCCAACTACTACACATAAAACCTAAGAGAAAAAATTCTTTAACTGCCTTACAAACATCAATACCAACAATGTTCCAATATCTCTTAAGAAAAGAGTATGTAATACCATCATGCCCTGGAGATTTGTTATTGCCAAGCCCTCTGATAACCTCTAGAATTTCCACATCTGAGATTGGAATCTCCAGAATGCTTCTATCCGTCTCGTCCAGAACAGCTACCGGTTCTGGCCAATTGTCCATACAGCAGGTCCTTTGGTTACACTTCTTTTGAAAAAACTGGAACAGAATATTGTGCATCTTTATGGGATCTTCGGTGATACAACCATCTTCATCTTTGATCTGAGAAATCCTTTTTCCAATTCTTCTGGTGTTAGCAAAAGAATGAAAAAATTTAGATTTTGAATCTCCTTCCTTTATCCACTTAACCTTTGCTCTTTGCCTCCAATAAGTGTTAAGTCTAGATAGAACTGAATTAAGCTGATTGACTTTAGATCTAAGCTCCCAAAGCTTTTCATCAGATAACCAACCAACCGAAGCTTCTTCTTCTTGAATCATAGAGATTTCTTCTTTCAAATTCTCCTTTTCTAAAGAGAAATCCTTAATTCTAGCCTTGCTCCAATAAAACAAGTCCTTCAACACTCTCTTACACTTTTTATTGAGTATCTCCATATCACTACCTTGAAAAGCCTTCCTCCAAACTCTTTCAATAATGAGAGACAAAGCTTTATATGAAATCCATACATCTTCAAATTTAATCATCCCATTCTTATGAAAAGGATTATCAAATATCTTCAAGACTATAGGGCAATGGTCTGAAGCTACCCTTTTTTTTTTTTTTTTTTAGAAACTGCACAAATTGCATTAAAAAAAAAACAAAAAACTAAGAAAAACAAAAAACTAAGTGATAGGTAATCTATCACTTTCCTCCTTTAACAAAGAAAAAAAGGTAGGAGGGACCTTATTAACTTCTAGAGTATCCCAATAAAAGTTGGTAGATAAAGCTTGGTTAGCACACCAATGTGCTACCTTATTACATTCTCTTTTAACAAAATTGAATAATATTACCTCAAAATTGCTGATGAACTCCAAGTCTTCTAAAGAAGCTTTATCCTCTCGGCTTTTATCCAATTCAAAAAAAATTTTAAAGTAATCCATCACATTTTTGTTGTCTCCTTCCACAATTATGCCTTTATAATTGGGTTTCAAATCTTCAATGAAATTGCTTATTGACCGAACTGCCATCCATTACAGTTTGCCAATATCCCAATGCAACAGCTGGAATCCATAAGCTGATAGCATTCTTCCTTTATGATCTCTTATGATGCCTCCTATTCCAGCTTTGTATGAACAATGAAGAGAAGCATCTATGTTAATTGGGTCTGAAGCTACCCTAGCAAGATGTCTTACCACAGCAACATTAATCTTGATGATGGCTATAGAATTCAGAAAACACCTGTCCAACCTCTCAAGAATACGATCACCTCCAGGTTTGTTGTTGCTCCAAGTGAATTTTTGACCTGCAAAGCCCACATCATGAAGGTCATTCAAATTTAAGAAATCAGCCCTTTCTTTGGGGCCTTGAGAAAAAATAAATTTTCTCCCACCCCTTTTATCATATTGTGACAAGATGCAATTAAAGTCTCCCCCAACTATGAATGGAACCTTTCTATTGGACACCTCTTCCAGATTACTCCATAACTCCCTCCTCTTTATAACTTCCTTATTTCCATAGATAGTAGCAATCATCCACTCCCCCTTATTGAAGATATTGATATCTACAATAATACATTGATCTGCTTCCTTTAACACTGAGAAAGAAGCCAAGTCAGACCTCCACAGGACCATAATACCACCAGAAAGCCCATTAGATGGAAAGAGATACAAATCCCAATCAGCTCCCATAATCTTCTTAAAGGAAACTTTGTCAAAAGAATTGACCTTAGTTTCCACCAAACCTACAAATAAAATCCCATTGTCTTTAACCACCTCCTTAAGATATAGAGAGGCCTCTTTCTTTTTGTCCCCTCTACAATTCCAAAAAGCTATGGAATTCATTAAAACACCCTAGGGGATGCCGCCCCTTCCTTCCTTTTGATACCACCACCATCAAGGTTCCTTCCCCTGGGGATGTTCTTAATAGGACCTAGAGATTCCAGCTCTTTAGCTAACTTTATTTTGTTTGAATCACCATTGGAAATTTTGTCTTTCCTTAAATTATTACCAGAATAATTTTTCTCTTCATTCACATCAATGATCAATCTCCGTCTAGGACCACCACCAGAATCTTCATTATCCTCCCTCCCTCTTACCATAATTAACAAATCTTCATTTAACACATTTTTAGGGACCGAATTCAGAATATCAAATTTGTTACCATAATTTGATTTGTTAAGACAAGCAGAAGGAGGGGACTTACTCAACGCAGCTTCAGTTTCCTTGTTGTCATTTTCTAAAAAAGATTCTCTTACCACTTCATCAGCTCCATTCTCCTCCATAACCTGCTGCTCAATGTCTGGAACCAATTATCCTTCCTCTAACTGGTCTTCGCTATCCAATACAGGCAATTCTGTTGAGGCAGAGTGAATCCTGAAATCAACTCTATCAATTCCTTCTTTCAGATTTGTATTACCAATCCCAACCTTCTTGACATACATAGATCTACTGAAATTCACCACATTGCTCTTTTGATAAGGCTTTCTCCCTCTCTTTTGGTTAACGAGAATCCACGGTCCATAATTTGGTTTATCATCTAGATTTTGTTGTTTTCTTCCTTGAACTTCTTCTGAAAAATTATTGTTACCCATTCTTCCTTCACTGATTTTTTCTCTATTTTTATCACATTCACTCTTCAAGTGCCCGATCACACCACATTCAAAGCAAAGGTTGGCCACCTTCTCATATTCTACTTTTTGGTAGAACCTTTTCGAAATGCTATCCACCCAAATTCCCAAGGGAAGGGGTTGGTCAAGTTTCACCCGAACACAAACTCTAGCGAATTCCCTCCTTCCCCACTGGAATAGATTCTCATCCATCATTAATCGGATAACAATTCTAGAAGCAATCCTTGCTATGTTAACTTCATCCCAATATTGTAAAGGTAAGTTAGGCATTCTAATCCAAATGGGAGAGGTTAGACCCTTCATAGAATTTGCTGAAAATTCAGTGGACCACCTATCCATACCCACAATGTGTCCATTAATAAACCATGGTCCTCCTGATAGTGCTACTTCCATCATCTACTCTGATTGAAACGAACATAAGAACCACCCTTTTCCTAGAGTGGTAAAATGAAATTGGCCCAAGTGACTCCATTGTCTTCTTATCTCCCAAGCTACCAGATGAGACGCAATTTCTCTGCCAAACACCTTTATCACTACAGAATTCGAAAGTTTCTCAAAATTCTTAAATTCAAGTTCTTCATTCAACCTTACATCTATACCATCATCAGATAACACCATTTCATCCTCTTTAAAATTAATTTTTATATACGACTTGTTACTCCAGGGATTATTGATTCCAATTCTATCAGAAGAAGTTGGCATTTTAGAAACCACCTTATCCACAGCAGACATGTTATCTTTATTCACCACCTCCTGAATATTGTTGATACCCAGCTTCACATAATCCAACTTTAACTCATTGCCTGAGTTAATATTAGAATTTACAAATCTATTTACAAAGATTTTCATCCCAGAGGAGGAAGCTTCGGGATCCACCGTATTTGAAACAGACAAAAATTTCTCAGAGCCTGGAGTAATATTTGCTTCAGAAACATCCACTCCTTTGCCTTTGACTTCTACATAAATGATTTTTCTTCGCCCTACTTCAGAGACTTCTCTAATCACCAATGGAACATTCACTTTCTTCAAGCGATCATCAAGGTGTTGTGGGGACGAAAACACCTCGTTAATCTTCAGGTTGATCTTCGAATTGCCAATAAAGGACGGAGGTCTAGTCGCCGGAGCCCGGGAAGGCCGGCGACCCTCCACCGCCATCTTCCACCGTCCTTCATGAGAAGCAGGAACAAAAACCAGGAATAGAAAATTTGAATTACACAGGAGTTTCTCTCACAAGGTCCATATATTTAGTACGAAAATTAAACCATAATCACAAGGTCCATATATTCCATTATTGGTGATAGTGGATTAATAACTAGTTGTAGTATTAATGAATTAGTATTTAAATCAATGATTCATCAACATATCACGATGATAGTAATATTATAATAGTATAATCTAAGTAATATTCAATCTATATAGTGATAAAAAATAGAGGTTGAAATAGTAAAGTTGAACACTGATAATGAATTAGCAATGTGCATTTTAGTAATCACACTAAACATGTATAGAGTCCTTATAAGGTGGTATTTTTCTAGTAATAAGTTAGTTGTTAAGAAAATGTTGGCTTAATAATTAGAATAGTCACTCCTTGCTAGTCAATATAAAAATAACTTCTTATAACTCCCAATCAATGAATCATGTGAATTAGTAGAAGATAACACCAAATCACATTATTTAAAGGAAAATCTACTCCAACCATCCTGTAGAGGTCAATCACTCTCAAGACGATATCAGTGAAACAAGCTTTTACTTATCTTCACACATTGTATAATCACAGTATTTTTTAACATAGTATTTTATAATAGTAATTATGAACAATTATTACTCAACCACATACCAGTATTCATTCCCAATGATTATTTTACCAATACACATATATTAAACAAAAAGTTTCTATTTAGAAAGATTTATGCAAAATATAATATCTTTCATTTTACCTCACAAAATTAAAAAATATTATAATGAAAATGTCTAGAACATTTAATAGAATAACATACAAAAATTTATATTGTGAAAGTTCAAAAAATTAAAAAACACAATAAAATTAGTTTTGTGGAAAATCTAGAGGTCAAAATCAAAATATTTGAAAACAAAGATAGGATTTGAGTCACTTACCTCAATCTAAGAAATTTTATAAAAACAACAACGTGATTTGATAGTAAAAAATTAACTTTTCTCTTTTCTCTCACATCCTTACCTCCCACTCTTCTCCCATTTTCTTGCTCGATAAGATTCAATGGTGTGTGGACGACACACACAGAGATATATATTATATATATATATATTATATATATATATATAATATATATATATATATATATTGTATATAAATATATAGTTTTTCTTAGGTAGTACCACAGTGTTATCATATAACACATCATGCAAAATATAAAGTTATTATAGAACAGAGACTTCAATACCGTATTGGCCATTATGGGTACCACTGTGCTTCAAGAACCAGTGCCTTAGTACTCAATGGCATAGTGCCACTACACTATAATTTAAAAAAGAATTCTGAGTTCTTAACACTTTTTATATTTATTTGTTATTACACAAGAATAGAGAATGATAATATTTAGAATGTCTAGTCAAAAGTTATCGAGCAAAAAAACTAGAAGGAATATGAGTGAGAGATAGAGGTAGACCACACCATTAGTCATGACACCACCCCCAACACAATCAAGGGTACATTACTTGAATTAATAGGAAGTATGAGATACACTTGAAAGTTCTATTGGTATAGTTTCTATTTTGAATGTGAAGATATCAAATTTTTATTAATGTTCATTGCCTTATATGGAATATTATATTCCTACTAATTTAAATGCA